TTTCAGTTATGTGCATTCTAAGTACTAGACACTGATCTTTCTGATTCTTGTTTGTTTGTGCACATTTGCACTGAATGAGACTTTAATATTTCAAAAAAAATGTTTAAAAAAAGAGTACATTTGACTATTTTTCTTTTTCATTTACAGGATTTTGACTCCATGGTCCCCCAACGCATGTCAGACTTAGAAGCTGAACTTCCTAATCCCATCAGCTATGACGTAAGCCTTCAAGATGCCATGGTATCCAGAGGAGATTCAGCTAATAGCAGGCCTGCATCTTCCCGAACACCCCTATTTCGTCTGGAATCCACAAACTCTTCTCACTCAGACCCGTCTCAGAGCTCAGCAGGAGCACTCCCTTCATCGCTCTTCTGTTTGTCTGGGAACAACTCTCATAATGACACCTCCCCTTCGCAGATGGGAGGCTATCTAGATGAGGCTGTTTTTGAGCACATCAATATGTTGGATCTTGGTAATCTCGATACGATCGACCCTCAGATGCTGGACAGCATGCAAGGGGACATGGACACTCCATGGCTGGAAGATTCAGACTCTGGCCTTTCTTTGGAGAGCAGTTCAAGGAGCCCCGCATCCCCGTCTGCATCATCCGATTCATTTTGTGAGGATGAGGGTGGAGCTACAGGCTATAGCAGTGAAGTAGAGTCTCTTTCTTCAAAAGGCGGAGCTTGTGCAGCTGCTTACTGTGATTGGTCGCCTGTGAACCTTGTGGAAAACATCTGGCACGATCATACCTATTCAACCCCACAGGCTCAAAATTCTACATCATCTAGCTGGTTCACAGCTATCAAACAGGAAGTGATGAGTGACGATGAGGTTGAACCAGAGGAGATGAGTCGTGACGAACATCACGTGCAGGCACTGGGTCTTCCGTTTTCTGCCTTTCAGATTGTTAACATGCCTGTAGAAAAATTCCTGGAGCTGCTGGACAGCCAGAATCTGTCAGGATCAGAAGTCACGCTCTTGCGTGACGTGCGCAGAAGAGGTAAAAACAAGCTTGCTGCGCAGAATTGTCGCAAAAGGAAGCTGGACACGATCATGACCCTGCAGGGTGAGGTTGAGGGCCTGTCGGTGCAGCGGGACGCTCTCCTGCGCCAGAGATCCCACACAGCCAAAGCACTTTCTGCTGCTGCAGAGCGATTCGAAACGCTCTCGCGGACTGTGTTGGGCCAACTTCGGGATGAATATGGACATCCTCTGAACCCTGAGCACTACACACTGCACTGCAGCACTAACGGACGGGTGATGGTTCAACCTCGCACAAACACAACGTCAAGGACAATGACAGGTAGCAAGACAATGAAGAGAAAGAAGAACAAGAAACCCTAAGAGACTTTTTGAGTGTCTGTGTGTGTGCATGCGTGTTTGTGTTGATATACAAATATTTTTATGTTTTCTGAAAGGTGAGTTTTCATGCTTTTCTAGCTCTTCTTTGTTCCTAAAAGCCATTCGTAACTCAAGTAGAGAGCAGAAAGACTGTAATACATATGGGAGCATAGGAGTAGCCTTGTTCACTTGCAGGAGAGAATGTACTGAAAACACTGGACGTTGTGTATAGTAAGAGTGTGTATAAAAAGTATTTCTAAAGAGCACATTTGAAAATTAAAATTCATATTGTTTTTTTTTTTTTCTTAATTTAAATGGCAAGTTACTAAGTAAAGAATCTTTGTATATGGTCACTGGAGGACCATGTTAAAAAGTGTACATCACTATTTCTTGCCGGAATGTGTGTGCGTGTTCTACAGAAGAAAGAAATGCGTACAGGTTTGGAACAACATGAGGGTGAGTAAAATTTTTGGGTGAACTATCCCTCTAATATGAGGAACCCCACAGAAATGACCTTAATTTAAACTATTTGCAAACATTAGAATCAAATACAACTTTTCGTTAAGCAGTTACCTTCATAACCGTATATACATTTTTCTCACCACTGAGATCAATAAAATCAGTTATTATAATATGATTGTGCATCTGACAAACAGTGATCACTCTGTTTAAACTGTTCCTGTACATTATATTACTGTCACTTACCTTTGCATTTTACATTTATGCACTTGCCTAACAAGAACAATTATAATGCATTCTGCTAGCTTTTTATAAAGGGGTTACGAGTTTGGATTGCAGATTTGTTTTCAGTTTGATTTTCCTTTGGGTTATTTTTTACAAACTGATTGTCACAAATTAAATATACCTATAGAAGTGGTCATCTTTGAAGTGAAATCATAGTAAAAACAACAAATAAAATTTAAGTAATTAAACAAAAATATGGAATTGGTGAGTTTTGTTCTACCTCATAGCACAGTTACACAATTTGGAAAAGGCAACTACTTCATCAGCTTAATGAGTAATTATTTAGTGAATTAGTATAAAAGGTAATACAGGGCCCAAACAAATTAACCTCTTGTTTATTTTCTTTATTGGCAGAGTGGTTTGATTTGTGTTTGACAGTAGGAGCAGTTCCTTGTTGTAATTTTTTTTCAGTTTTTCTATATGTGTGTTTTTGAGCAATTATTTGTACGTGTGTGTGTAAGGAGTTGGAATACCTTTAATTTTAAACAGGGATGTTCAAACCTTTTATATCTTTTGAAATGAATAAAGGAGGACAATAAAGTAACTGCTGTTTTTTTTATTTCTTTTTATTATATTATTTTTGTGTTATGGATCCTATTTAAATAAAGGGGAAGTCATGGCCTAATCGTTAGAGAGTCGGACTCGTAACCCAAAGGTTGCGGGTTCGAGTCTCGTACCGGCAGGGATTGTAGGTGGGGGGAGTGAATGTACAGTGCTCTCTCCCACCTTCAATACCACGACTGAGGTGCCCTTGAGCAAGGCACCGAACCCCCAACTGCTCCCCGGGCGCCGCAGCAAAAATGGCTGCCCACTGCTCCGGGTGTGTGTTCACGGTGTGTGTGTGTTCACTGCTGTGTGTGTGCACTTTGGATGGGTTAAATGCAGAGGACTAATTCCAAGTATGGGTCACCATACTTGGCCACATGTCACGTCACTTTCACAGAAGATGTTTCTAGAAACACATTCCATGCTATGCTGCCGTGTCAATCTAAATTCTGTCTTCTAAATAATGCCGCCTCTCTATTTTAAACTCCACAAATAGTGCATGTTTTTGTTAAAGTGATGTTATACTAGACAATGTTGGCATAATGCAAAGTCATTCTTTCTGGTCTCAAAGCAAACATCCAATCTGCAGGCAAAACAATAAAAATCCTTGCAGCTTCATTCATTTGTTTTGAATGAATGTTTTTGTTGAAATGAAAAAAGTAAGAAAAAAATTAAAAGTTCATTTAAATGTGTTCAAAATTGGGGTCAATTGTTTGCATACTGCTGTTAAGACTTATTTATTCATTCATGGTGAATAAAACATTCAAATGTTAGATTATGTGAAGGCATTGTAATTTTATTGACCTTTCAGTGTCCAAAATCTAGAATGAAAAAGGAAATTATGAAACTAAATACTTTATCATTTCATGAAATAAGATTAATACAGAATCTGTACTTTTTTTAGGTCACTTTTTTTAAAAATTTGTATTAAATTACACAATGCAAATAGTGGTCTCAGGCTGTACTCTGTGCAACTAGAGAACAATGGCTATTAAAGTAGTTAAATTATGCAAATTTTTATTAATTCTGTTACATTTTCCAGTGAAACGTACAAAAACAAAGAAAGATAACATGGGAGAGGTCTTTAAATGAAATTGTGCAGTTGATCAATAGTTAGATATATCATGTGACCTAAGATAACCTCCATACTTCTGCTATTCTATGTCAGTCTTTGGCCTTTGCAGTGGCTAAAGATCCATGATGGATCCTGTTACAGTGACTGAATTTTTATGTCCTTAATAAGATTCATGATGGTAACAGATCAATCAGAAATAGCTGATGAGTATATAAACAATAAATGGAATTTTATTCTTCTTATTTATACTTTACTGTTGTAAATGTGATGTTTTCATTGTGCCAGCACATATCAGGATAAAAGTTGAAAAAGAAGCAGATACAAATTCTAAGAAGTCATTAAACTAGGAAATAGTCTGTATTAGGGTAGTATTAGGCAGAACCAAATGAAGGACCAGTTTAGAGGCGAAGATTGGACTATGGAAATATATATATATATATATATATATATATATATATATATAAGAGATATATATATTGATATTGATATATATTGATATTTCAATACAGCTAACAATTAAAAAACAGTTTCGACAAGATATTCGAAAATAAAAAAATATTCGACAAGTCATTAAATTCATTTTCATTTGTAATATTCTTGGATTGTCATTGACCATGTTGCATAGAAACACTTTGTATAGCAATCGTGCAGATTCAAGATTACATCAGTTGCAAAAATGCATTATACATTTTAATTAGATGTGTTTTCTGTTCAAACTGTTAACATTTAAATATAAATGTATAATTCAATAATTTAATTCAATACGTTTTGAGGTCAGTATTACTTGATGACACTACAAAATACTGTTGTGCCGTTCTCATGTTTTGGAGGTAGAACGTGGCAAAAAAACATTTAGACTAATTGCCAACTTTTAATTTGCTCAATTTGTAGACCTTAAAATTGATATCAAATCATATTATGTACTTCTTAATGTATTGAATCATGTTATTTTGCATGACCAGCGGATGAAAAGGTTTTTATTTATTTTTGGAAATCACGGTTGCTCCGCCTTATGAAAACCTTGTTGGACACACGTGACCGCTCATAGGCGTGGCTTTACGTCCTCGCGTTAGCTTCGAGCTGGCCTACGTTGAGCCTCAGTCGATTTCTAATCCGTTGATTTATAGTGTACCAAAGAGAGTAAAAGTTTTAAAAGTTTGTGTCCTGCAAAAGTGCGATATATTTTCGCTGCGGCTGTTTGCTTGTCGGCAAGTGCGAAGTGCTGCAATTCACATTTTAGCCCTTTTCCTTTGTGAGGGTGAGTTTTCGCGCGCATGCATGTGCTGCAGCACCGTCCATTGTAGTTTCCTGTTAGAATGATGCAAACTTAATTATTGCGATACGTATTTTCTTAAATATATTTTTAGTTGTTTCAGCGTGCATAGATGTAGGATGCATGATGGTGTATAACAACATTATATTTTGTTTTGTGTGTGTGCGTTTTTCAACTAACGTTAGCCAGTAAACTAACCCTTGCTACCTATCTAAACCAGCGCGTGTTACGGTTAATATTACGCGAACTACGATTTTGTGAAGTACTGAGACCTTAATCCGGACAGGAAGGTTATCCAGAAATATTAAAAAAGTAGTAATCCCAAAAAGTAGCCTGAACTGCTTTCAGGCCCTTGGCCTGTTCATGCATGCGCAGTTAGCTTGTTAACATACTAGCGCACACAGAAGGCAACACTAAGTCGTTTTGGAGTTAGTCGTAAGTGCTTTAGTGATAAATATTAACATTTATCAACGAACTTGCTGAACTAATCTTCCAGTTAATGTACTAACATTTGTCGTTTTAACATAATGTGTAAGTCATAAATATGGCAACCTTTTCTTAATTGTATTTCGAACGGGAGCGTATCTGTAAGCCATATTCATTTGAGTTTTAATTGACTAAAAATTAAATTGCTAATCCGGTTCCTGGCTTATCATTAGTCTTTTGTGCATTTTAGATCGATATGGGTAAGAAGCAGGGAGGCAAATCAAAGAAGGATGTTCAGGAGGTGGAGGAGTTTGTGGTGGAGAAGGTGATTGACCAGCGAGTGGTCAATGGGAAAGTTGAGTTTTTCCTCAAGTGGAAAGGCTTCACAGAGTGAGTTGTTTTTTTTTTTTATTCTTTTGATATCTTGCAGGTGTAGTGAACGGTTGATTTAGATTTTATGTAATTCATGCAATGGGAGTAACAAGATATCTTAATTTTCCTCAGTGCTGACAACACTTGGGAGCCTGAAGAGAATTTGGGTTGTCCTGAACTGATTGCTGCATTCCTGGAGTCTCAGAAAGGAGTGGTGGAGAATCCAGAAGCCGTAAAAAGGAAATCCTCCACTGATGAACCAGAAACGGATGAGAGCGCGGCAAAGAGAAAGAAAGAAATGGTAAAGTTGTGTGTTAGTTATCAGTTTCAGAGATTTGATTTTAACATTGGTTATTGATAAAACTGACTTAAAGAGTAAAACACTGTTTCTCCAGTCTGACAAGCCAAGAGGGTTTGCAAGAAACCTTGAGCCAGAGAGGATCATTGGGGCGACTGATAGCAGTGGAGAGCTCATGTTCCTCATGAAGTGGTAAGAAACCCATGTAGTTTTCTGATATATTTGATTGGAAATTAGAAAATGACCATAGCGGTTTACAGCCATAGTGGAAACATTTCCTCACCCTCATGTTCCAAACCTGTTACTTCTGAGGAGCACAAAAGATACTTTTACTACTGTTTCAGCTGTTTTTGTCCAGATAATTAAAGTTAATGGGGTCCAAAATTACACTACACAATGATCTTAATTGTATGGACGAAAAATAATCTTTGTGCTCCACAGAAGAATGTCATGAAAGTTTGAAACAACATGAGAACATGATCCCTTAAAAGGGATAGTCCACTCCAAAATTGTCATTTACTCACCCATATGTTGTTCCAAACCGGTATGATTTCTGTGGAACACCAAAAGAAAATATTTTGAATGTTGGTAACTAAACAGCTTAATTTCCCATTGGCTATAATACCTATAGTATGGACAGAATATACAATGGAAGTCAATGGGAACTGAAACTGTTTATCAACATTCTTCAAAATATCTTTTGTCTTCAGCAGAAAAAAGAAAATCATACCGGTTTGGAACAACTTGAGGGTGAGTAAATGAAGTTGTTTTTGGGTGAACTAGCCCTTCAAGATTCTACTTAAAGGTCTGTAGGGGGCAGCATGTCCACATGCAAAGCTTTTCTGATTCAAAGATGCAAAATAATGGCTTCTGAAGTGCAACACTGCACTTCCTAGTCTAATTGTCATGTTACAGAGTCTGTTTTATCTTATAGCTCTTTAACCAGAGATATGTTTTGTGTTCACAGGAAGGACTCTGATGAAGCAGACCTGGTACCTGCAAGAGAGGCCAATACCCGTTGCCCACAGATAGTCATCGCCTTTTATGAGGAAAGACTAACTTGGCATTCCTGTCCTGAGGATGAGCAACAATAATGTCCCACATCTCACTGATTTGTGCTTCAGTGTGTTCCACCTGTACAGTGTTAGCAGAAGTGTTGATAGCCTGACGGTGGAGGTGTTTTTTTTGTTGTTTTTTTAAATGTATTGAGGTTTGGCTGGAAGCTATGTGCATGACTGTAGTGATCTAATGAAAGTTTGTACAAACGAGATGAGTGTGTTTTTAAAAGTTACAATATAGGACGCTTTAACTGTTCATTTGAACTAGGTGTCACAGCAGTGCTGTTCATCATTAATGCACTGGCTTGTGTTTTTCTTCCACTCATCTCGTCATTCAGAGAGATCCAAAACTTGCATTCTGTTTATGTTCATAGTTTCTTTTGGTGGACAATGCTGTCATTACTGTAGTAGTTTTTCATTTAATTCTTAATGTTTACATGAATATTGGAATTGTCTGTTTATGTAAATGTCTGTAAATATTTTTTTATTTTTAGTTCAATAAAGGTTTATATGCATGCTTTTAATCTGTTTGCAGATTACTCTGCTTAAACATCCAAAGCAGATGTTTTGTCTGATATTTATGGCAAAGAAATCTTTACTATGCCTGAGAACATGGTTAAGGGCTTTCAAAGTGTTTTCTTGGGGCTATTGGCATGCAATGCACTTTCATAATTGTGTTGTGCAATAGTGAGCCATTTTTTACCACATGCCAAAAAACTGGTTTAATGGAATGACTTTTGTTATTTGATAGACTTTGGAACTGCTTTTAAAGGAATAGTTCACTCAAAAATGAAAATGTATTCACCTGACAATCCAAGATGTAGATGAGTTTGTTCAACAGAACAGATTTGGAGTAATTTAGCATTACATCACTTGCTTACAAATGGATCCTCTGCATTGAATGGGTGCCGTCAGAATGAGAGTTCAAACAGCACATAAAAATATCCACAAGCAATCCAAACGACTCGAGTCGATCAATTAATGTCTTGTTAAGGGAAAAGCTGCGTGTTTGTAATAAATTCATCAAGATATTTTCAACTTCAAACTTTCTTTTGTCTAAAATATGAGTCCTTGATCCATGATTGAATCGGGAGAGAAATATGCATGGATCAAGCACAATTTAAAAGCAAAAACTTCTAAACAAATATGATCAATGGATTCTGATGTGAGAGCATATCAGAGGATGGACTTTTCCACTGGAAGAAATTATGGATTACTTGTGGATTATTGTGGTTTTATCAGTTGTTTGAACTGTCTGATGGCACCCATTCACTGCAGATGATCCATTGGTGAGCAAGTGATGTAAAGCTGAATTTCTCCAAATCTGTTCCAATAAAAAAAAGTCTGAGGGTGAGTAGATTTTTAGCAAATTTTCATTTTTACGTTTTAAAATACATGGATCTCCATGTTTGTATTAAATGGTAAAACCTCTAATATTGCTGTTCAGACAACATATTTGCCCTCTTGTTATTTTAACCTTGTGTTACCTCCTAAAAACTACAAAATGAAAGTGCCACAGTTCTCTTGTGCATATTTTGTGGGTCAAACCTGTTTTGCAGTAATAATAGTGCATTTTAACTGAAGCTCTTTACCAACTAGTGATTAAACATGAGGAAAGGTGTTTTCTCATCGTTATCTCACAGTGCATTTGCGTCTACTCTTTTGAGGGTAGTCTTCTGCATTGCCTGTTTGTTGTCTTTATAGGGATAAGTAGTCTTTTGCAGAAAGAGTTGCCTTTTTATAACAATAAGTGCCTTGCTGCCCTTACCATTTATGTATGCTATTCTGTGTTCTGTTCAAAGCACCAAATGTTTTTCACCTACTGTCATTTGAGAATTTAGGAAGTAGATAAAAGAATCGCCCACATTTTGTAATCAGAGCGACGAATGACTTATAAATATTTAATTGCACAATTTAGTTGTCATAAATTTTCCAGAACCAGAATGATTAATTTTTTGTGGGTGTCTTTCAGAGATTTCTCTTCTAATATTTCAGGTAGTCACACAACTCAGATATTGCTGACCTAGACATACATTGTGCATTATCTAAAATACACACAGACAGACAGTTAACCATGGAAAAAAGCAATGTGACCAATAATGTCATTGCATTTTCTGACCTCTCTGCTGCCTTTGCCATTAGGGTTAGCGTTCAAGTGCTCATGTTCTGTACACTTTATCATATCAGACACAGGATGCAGATAGTGCATCTTTCTATTTGTAAAATGCTTCAGATCGTGTCTCAGTCTTATTTACAGTTGCACATCATGGAAATCTCACTAAAAACATCTGGGTTGTGGCAGTCATATTATTAAATTGAAAAAAAATCTAAAAAAAAAAAAAAAAAGCACCATCTGATTCTCTAATTCAGCGATGATATCTTGAAACAAACAAGAGAAAGCAAAAAAGCTATTTGACATCCATAACCGTGCTGTCAGATTATGACCACAGAAAATACATTTATTACCATTTGCTTAGCTGGTTGCAGGTCTCATGACAAAGATTAGCAGCATAGTGATGGACTTTGAGTTCTAAGGCTTTTTTTCTAAAAAGAACCTGTTTTTGTAATGTCATCCTGAAATAAGCAGGTCAGATGACAAACCGAAAACTCTTTACAGTGATAACAGAAAATAAATAACTGCACTGGCCCTTGTTGGCTAATGTATGTGTGTATTTGTACTGGTACTTACAGTATTATATAACAGCTAGACAGAAAGTACTGAGTGTCTCATATGCTCTGTGTAACAACAATTCAATATCTCTACATATTGTGGTTACAAGTACTGATTTCTGAATTAGGAAATCATTTTGGTTGTTGTGGTAGAGGTAACATGGTGGACTGTGTCACAGGATATGGTATTGATAGGTAAAAGTCCAGCTTCCCACACTCCTGGACCTTTGAGTAAATTGTCAATATAAAAGAATTTGATCAGGTATATTTTGGAGATCTGTTCAATCAGTCAATCCATCCTCAGGCTATTTTTAACACCCATGCAGAGCCACAACGTCTTCCTTAGTGAAATATTACTATGGAGAGACTACATAAAAACCAATACTCAATACTCAAGTTACACAACTTTTGTACGTAAATTTTGACTCGCACACTCCACCCAATGGGGCTACCCATGTATCCCTTCCTATATCAGTATATGTTAAGTCAGAAAACAGTGTGATGTAAACTTGGTCTGCTTAGTCAATGTTAATATATGTTTGTGTCAGACACACTTATGCAAGTTAACAGTTTCTCATTTAACAGTGGATTTCCCTGAGAGGGTAAGAAAAAACATAAATTGCAAAATTAAAGAAACTGATCAGGATCAAAATGCTTAAAAGACATGACTTAATATATGTGCATGTTTAGCAACATGTCCGTAAGTAATTCCAGCAGAATAAAACTGAAGAATAGCTGAATGTTTCATGTGATAGACTATGTCAACAAATGAACGGAAGAAACTTGGAGAGCTCCAAGAACTTTGGAGTCAACTCTTACCAGAGGAGAGCAACATTGCAAGTAGCCAACCACTGAAAACAAGCCAAGCACATCAACACATGGAGGACCAAGACAATGAAAGGTAAAAGCTATATTAAATATGAAAGAGTTATATATGAGCTATATGAAATATACTGAGTCTAATAAATGTATAAATATCTAAAATAAACCGAATCCAAAAGCTTATCATCTGTTTGGTTCTCTGATACTGCCCACTACATCAGTAATGTGCTGTTGGTTAGAATAATATAGGCCTACCTTTTTTTTCATGTTAACCATTATAGCATTCTATCACACAGTCTACATATGCTGAATCCTGGATTTTAATTGTAAAAGATTTTATAATCTTTATCTTTATTTTATCTTAAAAGTAATTTTTATAACAGTTGTACATTTTAGTAAATGTCATAGGGATCAATTTGACACTGAAAATATATATGCAATTATGAAACAAATATTTGTGTACTCAATAGTAAATACCAAAACGCTGTGTAAAAATATTTTACCTTTCTTGTTAACACTATATATGAAGATTTCGATTTGTATTTTTTTGTGTTTGGAGAATGGTTTGGCAAAATAGCAAAAGTTCTGCTCGTTTTTGGACACTTCCAAGAACTATTATTTGTGGGCAAGTTTATCTAGACTAGTGTGTTTAATAAAATGCGTCACTGATACCAGCTATTGGGTCTTGTGGCAGCATGTTCTCTCTGCATAGCTGTCATGTGCCACAGACCACACATTGTGGTAACTGTCAGTGTGGCTTGCCTTCCGAAATTCTGGAACATTTTAAAAATGAAACTGAAACGATAAAAAGAGACATACAGGTGCATCTCAATAAATTAGAATGTCGTGGAAAAGTTCATTTATTTCAGTAATTCAACTCAAATTGTGAAACTCGTGTATTAAATAAATTCAATGCACACAGACAGTCTTCCCCATGATTGTGTAGCCTAGTGAACCAAACTGAGAGACCATTTTGAAGGCTCAGGAAACCTTTGCAGGTGTTTTGAGTTGATTAGCTGATTGGCATGTAACCATATTCTAATTTGTTGAGATAGTGAATTGGTGGGTTTTTGTTAAATGTGAGCCAAAATCATCACAATTAAAAGAACCAAAGACTTAAACTACTTCAGTCTGTGTGCATTGAATTTATTTAATGCACGAGTTTCACAATTTGAGTTGAATTACTGAAATAAATTAACTTTTCCACGACATTCTAATTTATTGAGATGCACCTGTACTTGTTTCATATATGTAAATGACCTATATTATGAGTAATAACGCTATAAATCTGTTGTGGGTTTACTGTCAGGTCCTATTTAGTTTGCATCGTCCCATTTGGTCTCTTTGCAAGTCCTGCGCGTTAGTGCGGTGACCCTATTATGGATTTTTGAAAATTACATTTCATGCAGTGTGTAACACATCTCTACGTGAATGAAAACATCCTGCAAAGTTTTAAATCTGAAAGTGCACCGTGTATAAAGTTATCATCCCTCAAAGGAAAGAGTCGACTCGGAGTCACTGAAACGAGTCGGTTTTAAAAATGAATCTTTAGCCATTTCATGTTGACGTCAACATGAAATATTAG